AGGGGAAGTGATCAACATGTAAATGAGAAGGCTGTTTACAACAATTCTCATTGGGTTTCAATCTCTTATTTGACTCTTTCTTTGTCTTTGCGCGCGTTACCCGGTTGTCCCAAACTTGTCGGTCCTTATCTGGGTTTTCTTATCACCCTGCATATATAATGTCATAGATTATGCATCTTTTTTACTTTTTGGGTAAAAAAAGAAATAAACCGAGGACATATTAGTAGGTCACTATTGTGAATAAGCCCAAATGTGTCTTCACATTTGAGGCTGTTTACAACAATTCTTATTATTACAGGGATGTCAATTGATTTGATTTATTTGTTATTATCTTTGCTGTAGATAGAAACATATATGTATCATTCATTCAGTGATTGAGGGGTGAATCATTGTTTTCTGGGGGATTGTGGATTCGTTTGAGGAGTGTCCATGTTTTGTATTTTGCTTTGGTTCTAGTCCCTTCAAAGTATCTCGTCTTAATAAACTCTAGTGGTGGTACTTTGGTGGTGTGAATGAAAAAGAACATTGCTAATAACCCTTCTCAAACCAGGAGATGCAGGTAGTCTTAACATGCCATGCTACCAGGATCGACGTATTGTTATTGGTTGGGGGTCCCAAACAAACACACAGGCGTTGTGTGTTTTAGTGCCGTCATCCGTCATTCCGTTGATTAGAGACAATACTGGATGATATCTCAATGAACAAGGGAATCATTTGGTGGAGTGAAGCTACACATTTACTCAACTTCTATACTTCTGTACAATTTACTTTACGTGCGTATTTCTTTTACTCCTCTACTTTACAAAGGTGGATATTATACATGTTTACTAGAATCCTTTTATTTTCCAACCGCTTTTATATGGAAATGATGGAATTGTTTTCATGAACACCCAAAGCAGTGTCTCGATGCCTTAGCAACTCGGAAACCTCTAATGGTATTTTCAAAACAACGTTGATGTCTCCCAAGAGAATCCGCCTGTATGTAAGCATATGAATAAAACGTTGGCAGCGTGTCCTTGAGTGGGGACCTCAGTGGGCTTCACTGGCACATCACATCAACAGCTCCCCCAGCACGCGCTTTCTAAGAAGACCACGAAGCCCCTCGTTAATGAGAGAGCGGAGGAAACCTTAGGAGAGGTAACTCAAAGAGAAATACTGCTTCTGTGCAGAGACAATTAGCCTGCACACGTAACTGCCAACAAAAACAAAGAGATGTTTGTACCGTTCAAAAGAATAATTCAGCATTAATACAGTCAAACGAGTCCAGTAGAGGTAAAATAGCTGCAACGTAGGAGGAGGATGCCATGGCAATATTACAGGACAACGAGGAAGAAAGATACAACCAAGAGACCATAAACTGTCACCTGCAGATGATAACAATCTAGGGATATTAATGAAAACCTTAAGCATTTGCATGTTGATGTTGTTTAAAAGTTGCACAATATGATCGGAGATGTGCTCTAAAAGGGTGTAAACACATTATTCACTTAATCTCGACTTAGATCTAAATCCTGACTCACTTGTGTGTTTTATCTATTACATCAAAACACACACAAGTACAAGAGACGTGCGCACGTGATGGATTCTGCCATCTTTGTCGTCCCCTGCTTAGAAAGAGCGATGCGCCGAGGTTTGTTTTTCTTTCAAAGACAGAAATGTTTCAAATGCGGGAGCGTCGGAGGTAAATAAACAGAGCCCACTCCGCCGCACGGAGAGGACGTTCTCCCTTCGTTCTCCCTTCGTTCTCCCTTCTGCCGGGGACGATAAGGAGAACGTCTTTGAAGTCGACTGCGGCGGAGTTGCTGTTGACATAAGTAACACGGGCAGATTGGCTGAGACTTTGTTTGCAAAGCAAACACACTGTAAAAGGGAGGCCTCGTATTCACTTTGAGAGTCAGAACAGAAACCAGTTCCGTCCTCTTCCTCCCGCCACCAGTAACATGTCAAACATAATGTTTCATTTATTTTTGTTTTACGGGATTTTACATGAACCACCATCATTTTATAGTAAATAAGGACAATGCTCTGCTGCTGCAGATGGAGACACAAGTTGCTCGTATGGGTTCTGACAGGATAACTGCTCACGGTGTGTAGAGCATGTTCACCTGTCTGCTGACGTGCTGTCATGGACCACAACACATACACACAAGCGTGTAAAAATGGACCAACCGACCAAAGACATCGACTAAGAGCAAAGCTTCCCCTTGGAGGAGGCTGCCCTGCTTTCAAGTCAACCACAACATAAAGAAAGATATATCTCAACAGCTGATAAATATTCAAACTGCAGCGCAATCACAGCGGTGGATCACCTTCATCAGTGACAGGCCAATGGCACCTCCAAACCCAGCAATCTCTCTTTGAGGCACACCTTCAACTACCTTCTCCCCTGCCTGCCTCTGAAACATTCCCCCTTGGTGGTGGCAGCATTTCGCCGGGTAGAGGACCCCGCCGCCCACCCCGCCATTATCTGCTCATTAGCGGGCTGTAAACTGGCCCACCCTCCATTTGGGCTCCAGCCTCAATCCATCCCATTAATCACAGAGGAGCAGAGGAACCTTCTGTGCTCTGAAGGCTCGTGGTGTATTCAGCGGTGTGTGTGAGCATGCTGCTGTGTACAAATGGTCCTGCTACATCCTGCCATCTGTTGATTGCTAGAAGTAACTGCCTCTCTACTGACACACACAAGTTCATGACACTTTCTATCGGCATTGTTCTTCCCCTGCATCCATAAAGGATATGATTATTTCATTAAAGGTTTATCTCAGGGCAGATGGATGGAAGTATGCGATCATAGCAACAAGCCCCTCATAATTAAACAACAAAATAGGTTGTCAGTGCTTCTCAAATCAACCCCAAATGGAGGTTTTCTCAGCCGCCACCCATCTGGTGGAGGTATAATTCATCTGAAGATGACTTAAACTATACTCAGAAATAAAAGGTGCTGACTAGAACCAGATAGGAGTCTTTGACTTGTCCTCAGAGAACATCTTATGAGGGTTTAACAAGAACAAAACCTTTCTGCTCTCCATCTAGGATAGACATCGGGTCAATTGACTTGGTTCTATGACCCAACACCTGCAAAACAAGTGACCTTCCCATTAGCCTCGGCTCTACACATCCAACACATCCCTAAAAGCATGTTAGCACCATCACGTTAGAAATTATTATTTTAAAAAAAGAGGAATATTTCTTGTTAAGAAAACTGTATAACATTTTATTGTACAGGACTCATTCTACAAGCGTAAAGATTCTAGCAGTGAGGCGGATAAAACCATGCGATCATTATTCAGATCCAGATCCCTCTGGTTACGTGCCATCATTGTCTCCTAAAATGTTGCATCTCTAACACTTCCAGTGGCCGGTCGGCATTATGTTCTGATCTGTTTTTTATTATTAATTAGTTCATTACAACATTAAAATAACTATAGTGTTGTTTATGACACTGGTTATTTCTCAGTTTATCATCTAACCTTTAACATGTTATTGTCAGATACTCAGAAAGTGCCAATATACAACCAATATTTTCATCCATGTTGTGCTCAACCTTTGAAAAAACTATACGAATACATAAATATACAGACTCACAGCTACCTTTTGGCAATGACGATGCAAAAAAGACACATCGTTTGTGTTACATAAATTATGAGTAATTGCTGGCTACCGGCTCTGTAGAGAAAACCAAGTAGAGTAATTTATCTTACAATGATGATGACAAAATCAGAATATCTGTAAATCACATTGCATATGCAAAGTACTGAGGCATTTGATTCACCCTGCACCAGTTATGTAAACATCACTAATTTACTGGTTGTACAGCAGACTGACTGACAAATATTATTAATGCATTTTATGGTCCAGGCAATCTAGCAAAAAGAACGGCGAAACAAAATATTAATATTAAATCGCTTTTATTGGTCCTTGATACCCCCTTATTTTATAGACTAAAGGTATCCCTTTATTGATTTAGTGGATGGTAATTGGACATTTGGAGTGAAGCAGTCGGTGTTAATGGTGTTATTATCAGATATACTATATACTCAAACTCTATGTTTCAGGATGGCTCCTGTTGGCTGTGTCTGCCGTTTGAATGGGTGTGAATCTTAGATAGTAATGGTGCAGGTGGCACCTTGCATTGTCGCCTCTGTCATCAGTGTGTGAATGGGAGTGAATGGGGTGAATGATGGACATGTAGTATTAAAGCCACTTTGAGTCGGAAAGGCTAGAAAAAGTGCCTATACAGGTGAAAGCCCCACTATGGGTGTCTATTTAGGTGCGCCCTAAAGGAGGAAACATGTCTGCTCACTAGGCTCAGTGTCACCAGACAAGTGAACGTCAAGTAGAAAAGGAAACGTAAATGGGCGTTGAAAGTAAAATGTTCTCTCTATTTTTCTGCTGACCCGCTGGTGCAATCTGATACTTGACTTCAAGGACGACTTTTAGTTAGGATTGTTACTATTTTGTTATTTGCTTAGTTTGGTTAGGACTGGTGTGAATGTTCTGCTGCTGATTGGTCATTAACAAAAGAGGAGCATGCGCGCTTGTACTGAAAGGCATTGCATTCCATCCAATGCTGTAGTGGTCGAGACTTTTCACTCATAAACATTCAACCTAATCAACCAGTTGGAACTTTTTAAGTTACACAATTCCTTGGCATCCTTCCATTAGTGCTTAAGATTTTATAAAATCTGGATCAAATGGGTTTGGAGCATCCCAATGACGTTGTCCTCCAAGGGGTGAGGCTGCTAAAACGTGAGGTTCAAATGGATTTCACCAGCCTCTCAACAGATGCAGCCTGCACAGATTGCTTCAATCGTTTTTAAATCAACCCAGATGATGGAGATGATTCTTGGCGAACTTTGGTTTTGTTGAAGAAGTTCA